CCCCCCCCCCCCGGACTCATTTCCCCAAGGAAAGGGCCATACTTGCGACAGCGCTTACGATTAAGCCTGTAATGTGTATAAAGTGCTTTACCATTTCTATGACATTCACGTCTTTTTAAAACGTTGCTGAAGTTTTGATCACTGCACCCCCAACCAACCCCATTTCCCCCATAAGCCCTGTGGTCTTTATTGTAGGACTCTGCACAGCACGATGATTTTTAGGAAAGCATTCCAGTAAGACCAGCTGCAAAGGGGCTCCCTCTAAAAAGAAATATCGTGAATCTTATTTTAAATGACAACTAGACCCAATCATATTGTTTTCTCTAAAGAGCCGATTCTTTCTTAAAAATAAAAAAAAAAATTTAAAGGAGTCTGTATTTGGAATCCATGCAGTAGTCTATTGAGTCAACAGAAGCTTCTACCCAACCTCAACTAGAATAATCAGAACACAGGGGCGCCTGGGTGGCTCAGTCGTTTGAGTGTCTGACTTCGGCTCAGGCCATGATCTCACGGTCCGTGAGTTCGAGTCCCGAGTCAGGCTCTCGAAACACAAAAATGAAGGCTTTCAAGTTGAGCCGATCTGAAAATGACTTTGGTAACAGTGGAAAATGATGACCCACTTCAAGTTGAACCAGTCTGACACCACCCCCAGGGTGAGAGAGACACAATTCTATGTGCTCCCTCCTATTTCGAGTTCTAAGGGGCTAAATGTAATTCCTTTGTGAGCATCCTCTCAACTGTGGAATCAAGTCAATTTGGAAATCAGCGTGGTAGGCAGAATGGCCCTGCAAAGAGGTCTATGTCCTAAGCCCCAGAACCCCTGAAAATGTTAGTCCCATGGCAAAGGGGAAACAAGTCGGCAGATGGAATTATGGTTACTCATCAGCGGACCTGAAAATAGGGGGATTTTCCTGGAGTATTCCAGGTGGCCCAATGCAATCACAAGGGTCCTTGAAGATGGGAGAGGGAGACATACGAGGACTGAAGCAGCGTCAGAGAGATGCTATGTTGCTGGCTTTGGAAGATGGAAGAAGGAATCAAGGGCCACAGGCAGCCTCTAGAAGCTGAGAAAGGCAAGGGAATGGCTTCTTCCCTCGAGCTTCCAGAAAGGACTGCAGTGACCCGTGACAGACCTCTACCCCACACAACCGGAAGATGTGGCAGTGACCCAGAGGGCATGGGCCTGCAAAGCCTAAACCACTTACCGTCTGGCCTGTTACAGAAAAAACTTGCTACCCTCTGGTGTTATGACGCTTTATCCCAAAAGACCTGCTTCTTTGGCCTATTTTTCTTGGGGAACCTCAGGGCCCACATGACCAGCAGTCCGGCAGAGGCTGAAAAAAATCCTATCACCATGGCAACTTTTTTTCCTGCTTCTAATCCTAAAGATGATCACGACCAATCTTTAGTGTAGGGGCTTAATTTCAAACACTTGTGGCCAGAAGGCAGCATCCATTTGCCATTGAGATGGAGAATCTTCACCGATCCGCCAATAAAAAGGCAGATGAGTTTACCTGACTCAACAATGAGTGAGTGTGCTCATTGATGAAAAGGCGGCTGCAGAGATGCTTTGAAACTCTTCCCATCAAGAAGGGGATTGACGCCTGGGTGGCTCAGTCGGTTAGGCAGCCGACTTCAGCTCAGGTCAGGATCCCACGGTCTGTGGGTTCGAGCCCCGCATCAGGCTCCGTGCTGACAGCTTGGAGCCTGAAGCCTGCTTCTGATTCTGTGTCTCCCTCTTTCTCTGCCCCTCCCCCCCCACTTTCTCAAATAATAAACATTAAAAAAAAATTCTAAAAAAAAAAAAAAGGGGGGGGGGACTGGATTTGGGAGGACTCTGCCAGACAACCGATTGTGACAGAGGCGACAATGCACTGACTTCAGGGTCCAGACCTTAAGAGACTGGCTGCGGCCACTTCCTGCCTCCCGTGCTATGGGAAAGCTCAAGCAGCCACGTGGAGAGGGACTGAGCTTTCGGCCCAAGCTCCCAGGCAAAAGCTAGCACCAAATCACCAGCCGTGTGAGCGAGCCGTCTTCAAAGTGGACCCGCCACCCCCCAGTTAACTGCCCCAGATGCCAGCACACGGGGCGCTGACCGGGCTGTGGGTGTGGGAGTGAAATAAACAATTGCTGTCTTAAGCTGTTGAATTCCGGGTGACTTGTGACACAGCAATAGATAACCAGAAGTCGGGTCTCTTGGTATCAGCGAATGACCCTGTGGGCAGGTTAAGTGACCGGGGCTAAAATGTTAAAACAGACCCGCAGACACCTTCACGGTGGGACTTCAGTGGTCTATAGCGAAGCTGGGGCGGGCAACTCTCTGCTGTACCTCAAATGATTCAGAGATGAGAAGGGAAAATCAGGAGGCCCTGTGTGTCTGATGAGGTGGGGGATGGGGGTGGGCATGCCCGGCTGGCTCGGTTGGTGGAGTGGGCAACTCCTGATCTCAGGGTTGTGAGTTCGAGCCCCATGTAGAGACTCCTTACAAAAAAAAAAAATCTTAAAAAAAAAAAAAA